ATGTTTTGGGGTTCAATTCAAACTGGTTTGGGAGAAACTGAATCACGCTATCTCTGGCACATCGTGAGCTTGATTCAAATGTAAGCAAAGATGTGCAACTCATAGAGATGAGGACCTGTCAGTCGCAGCACCTAAGTGAGAGATAAGTCTCCTTGTTGGAACACTTTAGGGGGGTTTATTCTGGCAGACATTTTTCATCTAGAACCTCTGAAGTTTCTACTTTGCTCCTGCACATGGAAACGTTCCCCAACTGAAAGAAAGCAACAAGGGAAGAAGATTAATGAATCTCCTGAAGCAAGAGATTCTATCAACTACAAGTATCCTGCAAATTAAATGTAACTGATCTAAGTGTTACAGAATCCTGGGTCCTGATGCATCACTAACACCACCACAGTACCTGGTGGTTTTGTGGAGTACCGCTGTGTGCCCTCATCATGACATGCCACCTTCTTCTCATGCTGCTCTCCACAAAGTGAAAAAGTTACAGAGCTATACGTTAGCAAAGGAGATTCACTCACGTCCAGTGTCTGTCACCTCCAGTTCTTCCACTTGGGATGTCACAGTTTTAAAGACACTCTTCAGAATGGCGCGCAGGTCACTTGCAAAGTTAGTTTGGAGCTGGTCTGCCACTCCTGCCAAAACACAGCAATTTGAGCATTTTGCTTGCGCATGGGGAGGAGACAATGGTAGATTTCAGTTAGAAAATACTCCTTTCATAATAAAATGAAATGCACATCGAGCAATACTTTTCATTTGAGTGCAACCTCTACAAAATGCCCCTGTTTCTATTAAATTATCCAAGACAGAGCAGACATTTGAACATCTAAATAGATCAGCATGTTAGAGAAGAAAAGTGATATACAATGATCTAAATAAATACATTTAAACATTATTTGGGGACTAACTAGAGAGTTAGTACAATGCCTAAAATGAGCCAAGTTGTAGCCAGTTCACACATGTGAGGCAATCTATTCTCAACCCCAATTTTGCCATATAGGAGCAGTACTAGACTTACAAGATGATTGTAAAAGATTTCTAAACTAAAGCATGCAAACAACAAGCAAAATATAAGTACTAGTGCAACAAAGGAGTAATATTTTTGAAACAGCTCCCTTTTATGAGTAGCAAAGAGCTGTCATGTTTTAAACTGTAGAGAATCTTAATGGGCTGCTGAACAGAGGACACATTGTTCTAACATACTACCTATGGATCTGGCCAATTTTTTTTTTTTTTTTTTAACATGATTATGGTTAACTGTGGGCTAAGCCTTTGCTTTCTGGAACTTTGTTTCATTTAATAGAACTTTCAGTTCTCTTCTCTCCACTAATTCTTGTCAAGACCGCTTAACAAAAAAAAGCTGCAAGCAGTTCATCAGATTTGGGGGCATTTATCTGGTACATTGCCTTCCACTTGAACTTATTATGCAGTACTGTGCAAAAGTTTTAGGCAGGTGTGAAGAAATGCTGTAAAGTAAGAATGCTTTCAAAAAT